AATAGTAGATAAGGTAAGAATTATATTACCTTTACTAGAAGTATTTTCTATTTAAGGTTATTAAGTAATTATAGTGTAAGGTTAAAAGACGGTATTCTCTAGTGTAGGTGCGTTACTTGCTTATTAACTACGTTAAATTTTCATTACTTAACTTATTATTATTATTATTATATATAATACCTATTAATATAATATTTTAAAAAGACTATAAAAAGCCTATAATAATAAATACTATATATATAAGATTATTAAGTTATATATAATATTAGTTTAAAGATATTATCTCTTTAAAGGTATATATATATATATTATAAAATATTAACTATTAATTAGGACTTTAGTATAAAAGAGAATTACTTATATTAAAAATATATTATATTATTATTATTATATAGAGACTTAAAGAATTATAGTAGGTTATAATATTATTAAATATAAAAATAATATTACTAGATTTTTAATTATAAGGAAAATAGTAGAAATTAAGTATAAAAAAAGTAAAAAAGTTATTTTTGATTATTATAAGAGACTTAGCTTTTTCATTTATATTATTAAGTAAGGTATACTAGACTAGTTAAACCTAACTAAGATACTAGTAAAGTAAGTATAAATATAAATATATATTATATTATATAATAGATTAAAGTAATTCTACTTATAACTTAAATTTCTATTAAAATACCTACTCTTTAGCTAATATTTAGATTTATTAAATTAATATATTAATTATATAATAAATATTAAATAATAAAAAAAGTAATTAAAATATAAAATATAGGTTTTTATTTTTATACATATTTTAATTAAATAAATATTATATAATAAAAATAAAAAAAGATAAAAAAAATAGATTTTATTAATAAAACTATATTATATATTTTTAATTTAAATATTATAATTTATTTAAACTTTTCAAAAATCTATTAAAAGTAAAAGTATATATACTCTAACTATTAAAGAATTTAATAATAATAATTAACTTCTATAGTATAATAGTTCTATACTAGGGAGTTCTATATAAGTTAGTATATAGATTATAGGTTTAAATTCTACTAAAAGTACTTCTTTTTAATTCTTTATTTTCCTAAAAGCCTAATATATTAGAAGTAATACTATAAAAGATCAAATAAAATATAAATTAAGGTAACTATAGGTCTAAGTTAATAAAAATTATTATTAAGTATATACTAATTACTATATTATAATAACTATTATAATAATAATAGTTTAAGACTTAAAGGAGACTTAGATTATATATAATAAAAGGATAAAATTAATATATTTAATAATATTAATATTTTTAAAGAAATGAAAATAATATATATATATATATTAAAAATATAACTTAAGAACTTAATACTAGAATATTATTATAATAAAATTTTAAACTTTATTAAGAATTATAATATTAAATATAGAAAGGAGTAAAGTATAGGTTTTTACCTAGGTTAGGTATAGGATAGGTATAGTAAAGCCTTAAAGTAATTAGGTAATAGTTTTTCTTATATTATTAATTTATAAAGGTACTTAATATCTAGCTAGGATTAAAGGAGTAAA